TTTTTTTTTTTTTTTTTATGGGGTGGGGGGGTTCATTTTCTTACTTGGGGAAATATACGGTTGGCACCTAACTATTGCAAATTCCTTGCATACCTGTTTATTGCTTCTATATAATTAGAAGCTATAGCTTTCTTTGCAGAAATCAACTGGAAGTAGCTTAGTTATCTTTTAATCTTTCTCAACTACGTCACCAATTTATAATTGAAGGTAGCCTTGAACAAGGAGTTGCTTGCATCCCGAAGCTTGTGCTGTCTATCCTGGACACTCAATCATGGTGAATTCCATATCACATCTTTCTTAAACTTGTGTTATTTGCTTTGTTCCTATTGATAATTCATTTCACTTTACAGGATGTTGCCAAGATTGAAAATCAAGGTGTCATGTGCAATCATTTCATTGTCTGCTGGACTAACCCAAAATCCACTTCCATACCATGCATCCAGCAGTGAGGTACTTCTGTTATTTTACCAAAGCTTGGTACTCCTGGACCCAATTTTTAAACTTCATTTCCTCAGTACCTGCTATGTTAAATGATTCTTGCTGCGCAATATTTGGTAGAATACCTTTCAAATTATTTTGGTAAAATCAGAGTTTGGATGAGAGAGAATTTGAAATAGTTTGAGTGGTTAGTAATAGAAGGGCTTGAGATCAAGGGATTCACATTTCTGTCTTGACCTGGTATCGGCCCTTATAATTGGAGCTGGGACTGGGTGAATCTCGCCTAAGACTATTTTTTGTATGTGTACAAAAATATGTACAAATATTGAAAACAGAAAAACCTGAAGAACCCAAAGCAGACGTGAAAAAAGAAAAGTTTGTAGAAGCTAAGTGCGAACAACCTTATGTTTTTTTTATCTATAAAGCTTTATAATGCTTCATACTGCATTTAAGATTCCACAAATAGATGACAAATTTCGATAATATTTTTTTTTTTCCTTACTCATGGTAACCAAAGCTTTTACATTATGGACGTAATAGTTTACTTATAGAAGAAATTTAATAAAAGCAAAAGTCACGTTCTAGTTGAATTCAGTAAAGTTTGTTTTTGAAGTGAACAATGCTAAATGCTTGTTTAGTAGGAATTTTGATAATAGATTTTTTGACCGTTAGAGATAAAGTGAGTCTTACATGTGAGAGAAGAATTCAAAAATAAAGGCTGTAATAGTGAAATAACGGTAAAAAAAATTGATTTTAATTAGCTTTTAATCTGTACCAAACAAGTTCTAACGAAGTTGTGACGTTGCCCCTTGATTTGAGGAGTGAGTTTGAGGTGTTGATCTTCTCAACGAGGAGACAATGTTCCTGTTATTTTGCAAGTCTGCGCTAGAATGACATGATCTAGTGTAGAAAGTCGTGTAATATGGATATATGGAAATTGTAATTAATTTTAGATTGTGATTTTTTGGTTAATTGGTAGGTTGATTTATTTCCTTACTTAGGTGATTATAGTTTCCTTTTCCAATTTGTATTGTATAGTATAAGTAGGAGGTATGGGATTGTGTTTTAAGTGTCGTGGAATAAAATTTCCAGTATTCCAATTCCGATTTCATGGTATCTGAGCTTAGGTTTCTCTAACCTAGCAACACAATGGCGGAGTCGACGACCTCTGCCACTTCAGAATTTGAAACAGAAGTCAACCCCCCAATCGGTTCAACTGGAGTAGAGAACTCCACCTTCCAACTCATGGTGGAAAAATTGAATGGAAGGAACTATCGAGAGTGGGCCCAACGGTAAAGGAAAATTGGGGTATCCTCATGCTGCAGAAGTGGAAATCAGAAAACTCCATGGTAACGGCCTGGTTGGTAAATTCAATGAAACCGACCATTGGAAAAACACACCTCTTTCCCCCAACAGCAAAAGACGTCTGGGATGCAGTGAAGGAGACTTACTCCGATGTCAAGGCTCGAGAGATGTGATCGAGTATTATATGGTAATGGTGAACCTCTGGCAAGAATTAGATCTTAGCGTTGAGGAGGAATGGAAGTGTGTGGATGACTGCACACTGTACAGGAAGAAGGTGGAGAATGAGAGGGTGTACGAGTTCCTTGCAGGCCTAAATCGAGAGCTGGACGACGTCAAAGGAAGAATTTTAGGCCGGCGACCGTTACCACCGACTCGAGAAGTGTTCGCCGAGGTTCGCCGGGAGGAAGCTCGCCGATCGGTGATGCTGAAAGATGGGAACGGATCTCTTGAGATGTCGGCCCTAAATGTAAAAGGGAGTGGGCCTCCAAGTGTGAAGATAAATGGGCCAACTAATACTGGGCTTGGAACGAATTTTTAAAAAAAATAGTGGGCCTATTCTCAAAAGGGGCTGCAAAATGGGTCAACTCAAAAACAACGAGGACGACCATGGTGTGAGCATTGTGGCAAGTCGGGGCACAAAGAAGACACGTTGGGAAATTCATGGAAAACCTACCGACTGGAAGCCAAGGCAAAATAATAGGAGCCGAGGATACTAAGCTGAAACAAAAATTCCTACTTCAAGCGGAGCATTCAATTCCGAACAAATGGAACAACTCTATCAGATATTTTCAAGTCTTCAAACATCTGGTCAGCCCTCTCCTAAAGGTCTCTCTAGTTCTCTCGCCTATAAAGGTAACTTTCTGAGAGCGTTAAATACCTCACAATATAAAACTTTTTGGATCATTGACTCCAGTGCATCTGACCCCATGACAGACTCATACCACTTATTTTCTTCATACACAACTTGTGCTGGAAATATTAAAGTGAAAATTGTAGATGGCTCACTCTCCTCCGTTGCAGGAAAAGGAAGTATTCGAATCTCAGAGTCTATCACATTACAATCCGTCCTCCACATCCCAAATTTGTCTTATAATCTGTTATCTGTTAGTCAACTAACCAAAAGTTCAAATTGCTCCTATAATTTCTTTCCTTCTTACTGTGTATTTCAGGACCTTTCATCGGGGAAGACGATTGACAGTGCTAAAGAGTATGAGAGTCTATACTACTTCGAGGAAGCTAATGTGAGTAAGCTAGGTCAAATTAGAAATTGTAATCCTGCATTTGTCTCTAAGGATAGCGAAATTTTGTTATGGCACTATAGAATGGGTCACCCTAGCTTTCCCTACTTGAAACATGTACTTCCTTTACAATTTTTGAATAAAACATCAATTGATATTCAATGCGAGAGTTGTGAATTCGCAAAACATCATTGAACTTCCTTTCCAAATTCCACATATAAACCATCTACACCATTTGCTTTAATTTACAGTGATTTATGGGGACCATCCTGCATACCTAATCGAACCCAACAATATGGTTCGTGATGACCATACTCGGGTATGCTGGGTATATCTTCCAAAAGAAAAATCTGACGTATGCTTGGTATTTATAAACTTCCGCTTTATGATTGAACTCAATTTCAAGCACAACTTCAAATTTTGCGCACTGACAATGGCATAAAATATTTCAATACCACCTTGCAAGACTGCCTAAAAATACATGGGATAATTCACCAAAGTTCATGTGTCAACACCCCTCAACAAAATGGAATTGCTGAACGAAAAAACAGACACCTACTCGAGGTTGCTCGAGCCTTATTGTTTACTACAAATATGCCAAAAATATTTTGGGGAAATGCAATTTTAACATCTACATACCTTATCAATCGGATGCCTAGTCGTACCCTTTCATTTGCCTCACCTTTACATAAATTTCAACAGTACTTTCCTAATTCTCGCCTCAATTCAAACCTCCCACTAAAAGTTTTTGAAAGCACTGCCTTTGTGCATTCTCATCATCGAAATAAACTTGAACCACGAGCAATAAAGTGTGTTTTCATTGGGTACTCACCCACTCAAAAGGGCTATAAATGCTATGACCCATCCTCAAAACAGGTCTATGTTAGCCTTGATGTCACCTTCTTTGAAAAAAAAAAAACCATATTACCAAAAACCATCTCTTCAGGGAGAGAACTTGAGTGAAGATCGGTTGGATCGTGAATTCTTAAAATTTAACCTCTCCACAACTGACCCAAAAGTCACCTTACCTTCTAATGTGCCATATACAGAAGGAAACTTGAATTCAGGGGGAGATGTCAGAACACAAAATGATAAGGAGATACCAGTTTACTCACGGAAGCCTAAATCAAAGTATAAAGAAACTCTCACACTTGAAGCACCAAAAGAGTCAAAATCGACGATAGGACCTGATAAGAACTCCTCTACCGAACTCATATCTTCGGAAAATGATTTACCTATTACTCTCAGGAAACAACCTCGGTCATGTATTCTTCATTCTATTTCAAAGTTCATATCTTATAATGCTCTATCTACTGAATTTCGAGCCTTTACAGCCAATCTTGATAAAACAGAAGTTCCAAGAAATATTCATGAAGTTTTGAAGTCACCCAAATGGAGAGAGGCAGTAATGAAAGAAATGAGGCCTTGAAGAAAAATGAGACTTGGGAAGTAGTGAATCTACCAAAAGAAAAGAAATCAGTAGGTTGCAAATGGGTGTTTAATGTAAAGTACAAGGCAGATGGGACAGTAGAGCGGTATAAAGCTCGTCTAGTCGCCAAAGAGTATACAAACCTATGGCATTGATTACACAGAAAGATTCGCCCCGGTGTCGAAGCTAAATACAGTTCGGGTTCTTTTATCCCTAGTAGTGAATCTAGACTGGCCTCTTCAACAACTTGACTTCAAGAATGCATTCTTAAATGGAGAGTTAGAAAAAGAGGTTTACATGACAATACCACCAGGATTCAAGAGAAGTAGTAAGGAAAATCAAGTGTGTAAACTCAGGAAGTCTCTGTATGACCCCGAACAATCATCAAGGGCATGGTTCGATAGATTTGCAAAAGTGCTGAAGAGTCAGGGATATCAGCAGGGGCAATCCGATCACACCATGTTTTTTCATCAGTCTAGAGATGGTACAAAGACAATATTGATTATATATGTTGATGATATAATCCTAACTGGAGACAACATTGTTGAGATGGAAAGATTAAAGAAGTGTTTAGCCGCAGAATTTGAAATAAAAGATCTTGGACAAATGATGTATTTTTTGGGTATGTAGATTGCAAGATCAAAGAAGGGTATCAGTGTATCTTAACGGAAATACATACTTGACCTGCTGAGAGAAATTGGCATGTTAGGATCTAAACCAAGTGACATTCCAATTGAATCTGGAAAGATAAAGGACATGGAGCCCAGTGGAAATAGATAGATATCAAAAATTGGTTGGTAAGTTAATCTATCTCTCACACACTAGACCTGATATTGCATTTGCAGTCAGTGTGGTTAGTCAACACATGCACTTTCCCAAAGAAGCTCATCTGGAAGCAGTATACAATATTCTCAGATATCTGAAAGGCACTTCTGGGAAAGGATTATTTTTCGGAAAAAATAAAAGGATGGGAATAGAAGTATTCACTGATGCAGACTGGGCTGGATTAATTGAAGATAGAAGGTCTACTTCTGGCTACTGTACAATTGTATGGGGAAACTTGGTGACTTGGAGAAGCAAGAAACAGAATGTAGTGTCTAGAAGCAATGCCGAAGCTGAATTCAGAGCTGTGGCTCAAGGAATTTGTGAAGGACTGTGGATAAAGAAACTCTTGGAAGAATTGAAAGTAAATGTCGAACTCCCAATCAAACTTTATTGCGACAACAAAGTAGTCATCAGTATTTCCCTTAATCTAGTAAAACATGACAGAACCAAGCATATAGAAGTGGATAGGCATTTTATCAAAGAAAAAGTAGAAGATGAGATTATCTGTATGACATATGCCCCTACAACTGAGCAAACCGCGGATATCTTCACCAAAGGATTGTCACAACAAGGCCTCAACGATCTCCACAGCAAGTTGAACATGATCAACATCTACTGTTCAACTTGAGGGGGAGTATAGAAAGTCGTGTAATATGGAAATATGGAAATTGTAATTAATTTTAGATTGTGATTTTTTGGTTAATTGGTAGGTTGATTTATTTCCTTACTTAGGTGATTATAGTTTCCTTTTCCATTTTGTATTGTATAGTATAAGTAGGAGGTATGGGATTGTGTTTTAAGTGTCGTGGAATAAAATTTCCAATATTCCAATTCCGATTTCATCTAGTGACATATTTTTGCTTCTTGATGCCAATGTACTGATACTCATCTCTTTTTCACTGTACACACACACACACACACACACCCCTATCTACGTATGTGCCCTTCTGGTTGCATTCCTTATTTGTACACCATAATATTGATTTTTGAACTGTTCAGGTAATGGGTAATGACAAATTGTTCTTTGGCGTACCGGCATATCCTCGAGAACTTCTGTCATTTTCTGCTGTTATTCTTCAGAAAATTGTGAATATCGTCTTGGAAGAGGGTTCTATGGTAAGTTGGGTTTCTTTCTTATTTTCCTCTTCCCTTTTTAAAACTCCAATTCTGTTTTGTTTTTATTTCTGTTTGTAAATTATATTTACTACATAAATGGGCATGATTCGAATTACTATCAATTGCCCTTATCGACTAATACATGTATTGCCAAATTTGAATGCTGGCTCTTAGGTTGTACGAGGAAAGCTTGCGCTGGAAGCTTGCAACTCTATAGCATCATCCTTTAAAGTGAGTGTAACAACAACCTACACCTCAATTTTGCTTCCCTACAAGACCATTAGGCAGTATTTGGTAATATGCTGAACCAATGGTGCAAGAACACAAGTTTCTTAGTGCTAGGGATCAATCTCATATGATTTTATTTAAAATTAGAAAGTCCAGATACCCAAATAAACATCTTTAAGATACCATATCTTTCCTTTCTTTTCACTAGAAATTCTTTGCAATCAAACACTTGCAATTGACCAAGATGGAAATTAATTTCCATTTTCCATGGAAAGTGATGTCTATCAAACGGAGCCTTAGTTTGATCTATTTAAAGTGGAACTTGCAAGTTTTTCATGTTTATACTAAAAAAATTCAGGGGTACCTTAACATATTTTTGACATTTGTTTATTGTTTTGTTTTGCATATTACAGATGTCTGATGAAATGTTGGCAGTTAGCTCGAAATTACTCGAAATTGCAAAGTCATGCTTGAGTGCAGATGACAAGTATTTAAGACTTACCTTGGAGTTATTACATATGGAGTAACACGTGTAGAATCGGTTCTTCTTTTTGTTGGTACTTACGTACAATGTGTATTGATAGACAGGAAACAAATGTACAATTTGTGTATTATTTTGTCTGGTAGTGTGAGTTCTAACCCGAATTTGTATAATGAAAATTCAATACATTTAGAGTTTGTCTGATTGAAAACATGAAATTTACATGGAAGAAAAATACAGTCTAGGTTGCCTACAAATTATTTGCATGGAAATTGTCAATTAAATGTGTTTGATTAATTTGATTTTTAATTTAGAAAATATTATAATTGTCCATTTTTAATTGATGGGTAAATAGAGGGGGAGAGTGAATTACCTAAAAAATAAAATCTACTTGTTTAAAGAAAATGTTTTCATAGTTTTTGAGGAAAATATGGTCATGTGATTAAAAATAGGAAAATATTTTTCATGGAAAAAATTCAATCAAACAGCACAAAAGTAGAAATTTAGGTAAAAAAAAATAATATTTATAATAAAAAATATTGGCAATCAAACGCATGCTTACAATTTAGAGAATACTATAAATTTAGAATAAAATTTTGTTAGCACCCTAATAGATTTTTTTTTATTTAACACTTAGTTTTACTACTTTCAAAAAATATTTATTGTTTTATCTTTTATTTTTATTAGCTTTCCTCTAAATTATTATATAATTTTTCTCCTTTGAAAATTAATATACTTTGAATGCATTTAATTATACTAGTCAAAATTGAACATGCATTGTACGTTATTTTAAAATAATTTTTCAGTAATGTAAAAGTAATAGTTGATACTAATTTATTGGAGGATTTGATGAGTTTCGAACGAATTAAAGAAAATAAGATTTAGCATAAAAAAAGAAAATTGTACTCTTAAAACTCAATTTTTATTATTCAAACTTTCTATAATGATGAAATAATATAAATGAACAATGTTTTTATATTACATTTGATCCATAAAAATTAATTGCTAATACATAAATTTAAACATTCATTAAAATATTGAGATGCATGAATATGAATAAATTTATTTATAATAAATAGAGATTAATGTCATTCAAGATTTATCAAGTGAAAATTCATTGAATTTAGATTAACATAAATTTAATTAATTAAAAATTAATAACACAAAGTTCATAAATGATAATAATATTATAGTATTTATTACATATCGAGAATTGAAAAATAAGATATTATTAAAATAATTGAATTTTAGAAGAGTTAAAATTGTCCAATAAATGATTTTCTTTTAATGTGATATTTTAATAGATCGAAAAATGAAAAGTAATGTATTATTGAAATAAATAAATCTAGCTGTACTTAATTTTTCATCCATAAAGGTGTCCATACTCCCATATGAGGTGGGATCCACTTGAATAAAATATTTGAGCGGGTCCTACCTATGTGAGTGTATTGATACTTTTATGGATGAAAAATTATGTACAACTAGCACAATCCGATTGAATAATTGAATTTTAGAAGGGTTAAAATCGTCCAAAAAATGATTTTCCCTTAATATGATATTTTAATAGATTATAGATAGAGTGTGTTTGGAGAGCCAAACTCACTTTTTAGACTAACAATTAAAACGTTTATTCAACAAGTTTCTTAGAACATAATTTTAACCTTTTAAATTAGATAGCAGCTCATATTTTAAATTTTTTTTGATGATGCTCTTCATTTGACAAAGTTGTAGATCATTAATAAAAATAATAGTAGATTTTACAAAATGTGTGAATAATAAATATTTAAAAATTATGAATGTGTGGTTGAATTAATGAATGATTTTGATTGAATTTATAAACTATTTATGAATTGGCAGTCAAATTGAGGCGAAAAGCCCAAAACTTAAACACAAACTACTATTATTATTTTAGAGCCAATGTTAATAAATTAATTCAAAATGTCACAAAAAAAAAAAAAAAGAATTAAATTGGTCTATCTATGATGATATTAAATTAAACTATTTGTATTTATTGACTTACAATTTGGTTTATCCGACCTCAATCCTCCTCTCACATGGAGTCGAGTCCCACGTGGGGGCCACAACGTGGGGGGCCCAACTTCCATGTGAGAGGAGGAGGTGGGATCGGATAACCCAAAATGTATAATAGCATGGCCCGATTATATTTCATACATGAGCAACAATATTCCTCTCTTGACAAATAAAATGTATCCGTTACATTATCATACCAATATAAAAGCCGTCATTTTATGGTTAACATGTAACAATACAAAAGCTATGCATTCGGAGTATAAGTATGTGCTTAATCATTAGTATTTTTAAGTACTTATAAATTATGAAATATATACGAAGTGGGAGGATAATGTGTGTGAGTCCTACGATTTAAGCCAAGTTCTTTTGCAAAACGAAACATAAAACTCCGATAAATTACACTTGGATCCGGTCTAAAATGACATGATTATTGGCTCCCATTTAGTGGTAATGAAAATGGGTGTAATAATTTTTTTCTGAAAAATGAGTGATTGAAAAATAAGAAAATTTTTTCGATTTGCATATAATATTATTTTATGAGAGATTGTGTGGTTGAAAATAAAAAAAAAAAAATAAAATAAAATGTAAGGTAATGGAAATAATGCGGCTAAAGTAGAGTGAGGAGAATGGAGATCGGATGGACATTCCAAGTCGCCCGAAGTTGCACATCAAATAAAGATAACATTTCCGTTTCTCTTCTCTGCTCTCTCTAGGGTTCTTACATTTTTCTCGCTTGCACAAAATAAGACTCGCTTAATTTGCGACCAGATCAGGAAGCGTAATGGATCTAGAGGTGGTGGGACGTCATGCGCTGCTTTTTGACGACGACGTCACGGCGTCTTTCGTGAATTCCGGCGACGCCCTCGTCGATTGGCACTCCCTCCAAATCGACCGGTATGACGTTCGTCACCTACTCGCCGCCCCTCCTCCGCCCCGTCGCCGCAGTCGCAACCCTCAATCTATTTTCTCTGAAGACCCCGCCCTTGAACCTCAACTCGATCATGAGCGATATCTTGATCTCCCTTCTACTCCTGATCAACCAGGTATAGTGTAATTTCCTTTCTTTTCCATTTTCTTGAGCTATTTATTTTTTTTGCAATCTTTGTTTATTGTTTTTAAGGCATCAGAGATGCTGTTTATTTTCTTGAAGGGATAACTATTTAGGGGAGCTTGGGAGGGGATTTCCGAGAGCTTTTTCTGGTGAATTGTGTCACTGAAAATTTCTAAATAAAGCACCAAAAGACAATGGCAATTGACAAAGTTTTTCTCAAGCTTATGAAAGAGATACTGAATGACACGGGGAAACACAGTTCTTCCGGATGCCAGCTAAATTAGTAGATACTCTGCAGTTCTATATATTGAAGAAGATGCGGGTTGCCTTCAATTATTATTAATGTATTTCTATCACAAGCTGTGGTAGAGAATATGGCACCACAATCTGAATCCATTTATTCAATTTTCAACAAGAAGATTGAACTTCTCTTCAGTATTAAGCAAAAACCCGTATTAGGAGTTAAGGATGCAGTAATGAAAATGGAAATTTGCATGGAGATTGTGTTTCTGGAGGTGGTGTAATATTTTGGTGAAATAAATTTATTTTCAAGCCTTCTTAAAAAACAGGGTAGTAAAAGGAAGGAGTGGAAAACTTTTCTAGTTTTTGCTGGTATCATACTTTTTTGCAATATGCTTTTGAGTTTGCAGGAGGGGAGTAAACTATTTTGCTTCTTCCATGTACAAGTAAGATCTCTATTTCTGTTTTCTTGAAACTTTCTTCCTTCATGGTGGGTTTCAATAATTCTAAGCATTGTAGTTCTGTTTTAGTGTTTAATGCGTTGTTGATATTATTCAAATTTTCTTTGTCCAGAGTTTGATGAAGATGAAAAGCCAACAGTTTCTGGTGGTTACCGTGCTGTTGCCTTCTCTTATGGAAACACTGATGATTCTGCTGACCAAATGAATGATGATGCTGGTTTGGCGTTGTCTAGATTTTCCCCTTCCTTCCCTGTTCCTGGAAGCCTTTCTCAAAGCTTGGTAAGTTTGAGCTTTTCAGCCTAAGGATTTTTGTGTATTTCCAAATGTCCTTGATTTTTTCCTTGCCTGCTAACTTGATTTCCCCAAGCTGGCCAACTAATAATCGTCGAAGGTGCATATGTCATCTATGGCTCACTGTGTCTAAGTTTTCAGATGCTCGGAGCAGGGAGGGAATTGTGATCCAAGGTAGCCATACACAGGCACCTTGTTTCGTTTTGATGTCATGACATAAGGTCGTGCAGGTGGGATTAGGATATAGAAATTTTCTTTGAGGACTATCAATTTACTACTTGAGAGGGCAAATGTTGTGTTTATGATATGTAGTGCTCCGGTTCTTGTGGTATGATTATTTTAAGACTATCATTCCAATCAGTTTAATGTCTTAATTAATGTTTTGCAAATTTTAACTTTGACATAGTGTTGAGAAGTTCTGAGATTCTCATTTTTTATGGAGTTCTCTTTCTTTCTTGCTTTGTGCCTCTTTTTTCCAGCCTCCAACAGAGAAGCTACATCAGATAATTGCAAGGACCGCCATGTTTGTCAGCAGGCATGGCGGTCAGTCGGAGATTGTTCTGCGGGTGAAACAGGGAGATAATCCGACCTTTGGGTTCTTGATGCCGGACCATGATCTTCATGCCTACTTCAGATATCTTGTCGACCACCCAGAACTTTTGCATTTTGACATTGATGGAAACTCTCAAAATGAGATGAAAAAAGCTGGCAGTGATCACAATGATATCGACCGCCTTGGAGGTGTAGCGTTGTCATTGCTTGGATCTGTATATGGGTCTGGAGAGGAAGACGGTGATGATAATGCAGAAACTGGAAAAGAGGTTTCTGGTGAGACTACCAATGCTGTTGATAAAACCATTTCTCATGGTTCGTTGAAGACCGAATCATGTTTAGATTCAGCTGGTAAAGACGAGGCAGTCTCCAAGAACCCACTTTCTAATAAATCAAAGGTTCTTGCAGTGAAGAAGAATTCTTCAATTGGTGCTTCTAAGCCTGGAAAGGCAGGTGGCACTAAGAAGAAAGTTGATTCTCATTCTTCTTCTATTGATGCGGAGAAGTCAAAGGGTGGTTCTGCTTTAGGAGTGACCTCTAAGGTTGAACCTGTAGTTCTGGAGCCTCCATCTGATTTAAAGCGATTAATTGACAAGATTGTAGAATTAATTATGAAATATGGAAAGCAGTTTGAGGCAACAATTCTGGAGCAAGATTGCAATAAAGAGAGATTTCTTTTCCTTCTACCATCAAATCTGTACCATCCTTACTATTTAAAAGTCCTCCAAAAAGCTCAAGAGGTGTGCATCTCTTCTATAATGTTCTGCTGCACATGAACTTACATGAATTCCTTGAATACAATATGCCCCTGTTTGAGCTCCATTATTTCAAAATTTATTTTTCTCCAAATTTATTTTCAGCCACTCATTCTCCCCATAAAATAATTTTATACGTAAATCCAAAATTTTTCCACTTTTTAACCACACATTCTACAAAAAAATAGCTTACAATATCTATTTTTTCAACAAAATTGGCCTCAAACAAAGGCTATATCAAAAGTGCCTGATCTTTTTTGTATTTTTCTTAAACTGCTGTGTGTATGTTGGAGGCAAGTGACACATTAAAAGGATCCCTTGATATGAATATCATGATTCTGGGTTGTCATTGTATTGGAAGCGTATTTGGGTTTGGTGCAAGCAAAAATAACTTGCTTTCGTGCTTAGGCTGCTGTCATGTTTTCTTTTGCATCTCATAATCTGCGTAACCCTTCTAGTTGATTACAAGTATGCTGAATGTTAATAATAACATTGCCAATCATATCAATCACTTTCAAGTGTTCTTTGTTCCATAAGGACCTGTATTTCATAGTTTACCTGAAATAAATTTCTCCTTACTTTTTATAGCAGAATAGGTATAATTTTGTCTTTGGATTTAGTAGTGTTATTACATATAGTCTTGTTAGAATGGCTGGTGCTTATTGAACTTGTTGATCATTCGCCTTAAAAGTTTTTACAGAATTTAATGTCGCTTCATTCTGAGAAAACACCAATTGTATGTAGTTTACCCTTGCCCATCATGTCTATTGGCTTCAAATTGCCTCACATGTACAACTGCCAGCAATTAACGTGGAGAAAGTTTTGTTAATTTTTGGTTTACACATCAAGTTGATTTTGCAGTATTTCCTGCTTTTCCACTTTGATAATGTACTTTAATTCCCTTTCAGTCAAAAGTAAACGGCGAGGGATTCCATTTTGGAAAAGATGACCCAGTGGGACGAGGGATGGAAAAGAAAGCTTCTGTACTTGAGGATGGTGATTCTTCATCCTTAGGTTATGACATTCCATTTGAATTTGACAGGAAAGAGAAATTTAAGATGACGATAGGCAAATCAAAGAAGGACACACAGGAGACTGAATGCAGAGGAACACAGCAAGAATTTGGAGTCACTGTAGATGCTGCTGCTGCAGCTGCTATTCTTCAGGCTGCCACGAGAGGCATCAAGAATCCCAATTTGGGAATAATTTCAGGCACAACTCTGAATGCTAATCATTGCCACAACAGTGAAGATAATCAGGCTTCTAGTTTAGGCAGTCGTCCTTTTTCTCAACCTCATGTGACAACTGAAAAGTCTGATAGGAATGGAGGTCATAATGTTTCTGTTCCTGCTACCAGGACAGTTGCTAGAACAGCTGCTCTTGAAGCTGCTGGTGAGGCTGATTCTTCTGAGGCACACCTGACCAAAGAGCAAAAGCTGAAAACTGAGAGGCTCAAAAGGGCTAAAATGTTTGTCGCCATGTTGAAAAGTGGAGCTGTGCCCTTTAAAACTGGAACATCGCGTGGCTCGTCGTTAGAACCGCAAGAATCTGGACTCTCGAAATCTGCTTGTGAGGTTAATCTTACCGGTAAACAACGAGAAGGCAGCTCAGCTCCTGTAGATGTTGATAAGCTGGCTATTGATGAAAAGCTTGAGAGGCATAATTTTGGTGAGGAGCATAATGAGAGAGTATCGAGAAGGAATTATAGATCAAGATCTTGGGAACACGTGGATGAGGATGAGAATGGTGATGAAAATGGAGATAAAGAGGAGCATAATGAACGATACCTGAGACGGAAGTACAGGTCAAACCCTGGTAGACACGAGAAGGATGATCTATATAGAGAAACAGAGATGAAGCACTCGAGGAAAAAACACCATTCTCATTCTTCTTCTCTGGAAGATGGAGAAAAAAGTGAAGAGGACAGGGATCATAAGCACTCAAAGAGGAAGCAGAGGTCTCGTAGTTCACCAGAAGATGAAGAAGATTATGAAGACAGAGAGAGGGATGACAAGGATCGTAAACGGTCTAGGAAGAAGCATCGATCTCGCCATTCTTCTCGTGAACACTCGAGGAAGAGATCCAAGCGATATTCAATCGAAGAAGATGATGAAGAAAAAAGGCACCACAGACACTCCGGGAGAAGGCACCATTCACATCGTAGCAGATGCAATCGTAGGCACAAAGAAAAGCATTCTTCTAAAGAAATAGAATCTCGAGACCACACCAAGGACGATGACTCCTCGGATGAACATAAAATGGCATCTTACATAGAAAGAGATGATGAGTTGGAGGAAGGTGAGATCAGCTCCAAAGCTTCAGATGATTCTAGAGGAATTGCTAGCAGCCATGTCTGTAGAGAAACATCACTTGATGTATCGAATTTGTTCCGGAGGGCCCCATCTCAACCCCTGGAAGGGACGACTGAGGTCTCTGATGATCTTAGAGCCAAAATCCGTGCAATGTTGATGGCAAATCGGTCGTAAAAGTGTTACTTCGTTTCCACGAAAATTGGTAAAATTGAATGGAGCTGTAATTACAATTAAAAAGGGCTGAAGCAAAAATATGGTAGATGTTATGATGCTTCAAAATGCATTTTCATATAGTTGATATTTTCATAATTTTCTCCCAGGAGTACTTATTATTGTTTGATGTCATATGCTTACTTTTCTTTTTTCTTTATATATAAAACAATCGAATTTCATTTATGCAGATCGCTGGAAACAGCCAGGGTAATACATTTAATCTAGACTATTCTATCACCAAACTCAACAGAAACTTGGCATGTCAACTCATAGGCTATTGTCTTTGTTGGAGGAGTAATGTTATTTATGGTCGCTTACTGCGGTAATCACCCGATGTGGTATACTACTTAGCGATTTGTGATTTTATGGACACTCGACAGCTTCCTGTTGGAGGGGGGCCTGTGGCGTAATGGACACTCGCCCGTACCCCTTGATGTACCCATAGAAAAACCTTTTTTAATTACATATTCTTCCAATTGTATGTTAATTCAAAAAAAAAAATTTGGCGTATTTTTTAATCACATAATTATAAAAAAAACACACACACACACACACACGATTACAAAAATCAATTTTTTTACCCAAAACGGGCCAAAAGGTAACACTTATCGAAATCTTATTGGAACTGATTTCAATAATGCACAAGTTACAATTGCGGGTTGCCAATGTAAGGTCCAGATATTTTCTTTCTAAGAATTGAAATTTCTTCATTGACAGGCACTTACTACGCAAACCGTCTACTTTCCAACAGATGCTCATGTTCTGTGAAATTTAAAATTCAGATTTTAATTTAAATCAAAATTAATAGTTAATTTTAACCCCACATTTTGTGGGCCTACAATTTTTCAACCACATTTCATCAAATTTTATTAAAATATTTAATCCCTAATAATAGAGGAGCATAATATCTCATTCTATATTTTCCTATTTTTGAAACAAAAATTGATGCTTCCAATGTGAAATTGAACGGACTTTAAAACATGGTTTTTTATTTTTTATTTATTATTATTATTATTATTTTTTTTTTTAAGAACTTAGAATCCGATTTTGCACTAATTGATAACTAATGAGAATCTTATTTTAACTTTTATATTCAGAAATTTGATTAACTCAAAAAATCAATTTTGACAGCAATACATGCCAAAGGAAATATGTGTATAAATGGATGAAACTGATTTGTTCATCTGTCGAATGTTCTGACTTTATCTTTCACTTGTAAAATACAACACACAATGAGAAAAATCCCTTTTTTTCCAAGCTGTCCAAGGAGAAAAAATGTTTGAATTTGAAAATATTGTCTGGTTGTAGAAGAAACTATTAATTTACAAGGATACTAGACAACTAAGTCGTGCCTATTCCAATGATTTAAAAAAAAATTAAGGTATACTTTCTTGAAAATAATCACAATGGTTTGTTTGTATCCTTTAATTATAACTAAGACGAAATTTTCAATCTAGTTTACTCAAGAAAGTCTTGACTTAACCATAACGTAACATTTGTATAGTATGATAGAATTGGATGCTACTCTCTCCGTTCTAAGTCAGCGAGACGTTCATTTTTAATAGAATAATCGATGTATTTTGATAGTGCGACAACATGATATTTCATACTTATAATCAACTATTAAAAAGACAAAATTAACTAATTTTATTAAGGCCCTGTTTGAGTTGTATTATTTGAAAAAAATATATATTATTAAACAGTTATTTAACATTATTTTAATAATATATTTTTTAATAAAATAATATTATTAGCAAATTTGAAATGCAAATAGACCTTTCGAGACCAAATATCTTGAAAAAGCAAAAGGCCAAAGAATAGGTGATGATGCACAACCAACCAAGCCGACCATACTTTGCCTTGTACTGTCCTCATTTTATGGGAGCATGTGGATCCCACCGGTTCAAATCAATTCTTTTTCTTGTCTTTCCTCAAGCCCGTTTGATAGGGTTCTGCTTCTCGTAGAGAGTTGTTTCTTTTGTAAGAGTTACATTTAAATTACATTTGATTGTCAATATTTTCTATAAAAAATATCAATTTTCACCCGAAAATTCTACTTTCGTGTTCTTTGATTGATATTTTTTTATAAAAAATATTTTTCTATTTTTGATCACTTAGCCATATGATCATTGAAAATAAGGAAAATATTTTCTTTACAGGGAATAACTTTTTATTTTTTAGACAATTCAGTGTCTCTTTCTCTCTCATCTAATCTCTCTCTCCTATTTACCTATCAATAAATGGACAAGTTGGGACACCTCGTTAAAAAGAAAATAATAAAAAAAAGGACAAGTTTAACATTTTTTAGGCTGAAAATAAAATCAATCAAACACATTTAATTGACAATTTTCATATAAATAATTTTTAGGTATTTGAATTGCCTAGAATTTTTTTTTAATGAAAATTCAATGCTCACAATTTGCTTTTATTTTTGGATTTTGTAGAAGAGTTTCAGAGAAAATTATTTTAATTTTTATTTGAAAACTAATTTTTATAAGAGTTTCATATTCCTAAAATATTTTCTAAAGTATTTTTAAATGAAGATACATTAAATTAAGTTCCTTTAAAAGCTCTTCTAAATAAAAGAAGCTATTTCATAAAATTAGTTAAACAAGTTTAAAAGCAGGTTTTGAATCTCCAAAACTCCTATTGACTTTTTAAAAATCACGCCAAATGGATTTTACACCAATTTCATTTAAAAACTCTTAATAATAAGATAAAATTTATTCAAATATGTTAAAAAAACAATTACTTGACCTCGAATTAACTTAAGTTATGAAAAGCATGTCAAACTGACCTTTAGTATTCCTTTATCCAACTTTTAATTGGAAAGCGTGCAAGGCCAGGAAGGACAACCCAGCTTTTTTAATTGCTTGCTTGAATCCTTATTGGGGTCACCGCCCAGGTGCACTGAGATGAGAGATAGGATTTCGACTGTTAACTCCTCAATAGCTTTTAGCAGGGTAGAGATTTGGGCGGTCGAGCTTTTTGGATGGATCATATTAGAATCTCGTGCTTTTTATCATGTGGTTTGTTACTCGGCCAAAGCCATTTGTATGAACCCCTCTAAAACAAACACATGAGGTCGGCTCCATGTCGGACCCATAGATGATAAAAAATTGTAAAAAAATATCGACCTTTCTCTCTTGTGTATATTCTGTAAAATCTCCGTAAAGCCTCATTCTGTCTGTACTGAGTTGTTGTTATTCGCAACCTCGTCACCTTAACCTTATCACCCACACTTGCCACCTCCCCCATCTAATTTCTCAAATCTTTTGTTGTTACTTAGATAAGTCTTTTATATTTACAAGGTTAGGGTTTTAGGCCTTTTTATTTTTTTTTATTTTTTATATTCAGGTATCACAACTTACACCAAACTAAATCCTGGACCTTCAAGACCCATGCCCCTGGATTTTAGGCCTTTTTTAGTAAGCAAGGAGGAGCTTTGCCCTGTCCATAACCTAGTAAGTATAGAGATTGATCACTTTGTACAACGAGCAGGGGCGGACGGAGGGACAGGCTTGAGTCAAACCCAATTAATTTTTCTAACTATATGCATCAGCTCAGTATAAAATTTTATTTGTCCCCCTCACTACGTTCTTGAAAACAAGTTAAGTATGTTAAACAACATTGACATAGTAACTAAATTTTAACAACGTTTAGATTCAACAACCAACTTGAACCAAAATAAAATTTTGGTCACCTATAATTTGTTAAACCCTCATCCTTTTTGTATGTAAGATTGTTGGAAAAAGAATTAGGAGGTGTGTCGAGATATCCTGATTAAGGTGTCGGCACCTCTTTAGTATCCTCATTATTTACCCATCCCATTAAAAGAATGAATACATGAAAATGAATACCTATTACTAGGCATAATATACCTATAACGTTTTGTCTTATTTAATTCAACATGTTTTTTAAGTTTTATTATATAACTTTAAAACGGCCATTACTCGTTAGTAGACGTGAAAGGGAGTGATTAGAATGTGTTTGCAGCCGCAAAGGTGCATGTTAGCTCCAATCTTGTTAAAACTGCGTCTTCCAATTTATTACTAGTTTTTATCAAGTACTTGGGGTTTACGCTGTCACATTGAAGTTCTCACTAAATATATTTTGACTTTCACTTATAATTAAGAGCAAACTAATTTCTGAAAGTACTAAGCATGTTTTATGACTACATAACAACTAAGCAATGTCCGGCCTTTGCAAAAGTTGAATTTCGATACCATCTTGATGGTTTTTAGATATTTGTATATTTTGATAAAAATTAATGAAATATGCGTTTGAAAAATTGATAAAAGTTTTGATTCCAATGAAATATAATAGAAAATGAGTTTAATAAAAAATGAATTTTAATGCCCGGAGATAGGGGTGCAATTAGGTCTAGCGACTTGTCGGTTTGCCCACTCAACTCGTCTAGGCTTGTGGACAAGCTTGGATCGTGTTTGAACAAGCAGAGCTCGTTGTCCGAGCCCAGCCGACTCAGCCCACCAACACCGCTAACTATGGGTCAAATAGGGCCTCAATTTAAAAATAAGACATTTATGTGACCCAAAATTATTTGTGCTGAACGATCCGTTAATTTCTGATTTTGTAGCACGATTCCATGAGGTTTGACGTGATTCTTGTTATTTTATACCTAGAGATAGAAATAAGATATAGCTCATTTGCTTGTCTTTTTTCCCACTACCCCAATCCTTGTTTCAAAATTGCTTGTGATGAAATTTCATATTTATTTTTTGGGAAAATTGCAGCGACGGCTCCTAAACTTTTCAATTTTTACAGACTTTACTCTAACATTTACTTTGTGCCAACAAAGATCCTTAACATTTCATAAATATGTAGTTGGAGTCCAAAACATCCATTTGACTGTTAGTTGACCAAGAAAAGAAGACTTTGATGATTTTGACCAAAGTAAAAGAAGTAAAATGGTAAGTTTAAAATTACCACATTAAATAAATAAACAAAAAATAAAAAAAAAATGTTTCTCATTCACCTTACCCATCCCCAGTCTATCCCCAACAACAAAAAATCAGCCACCAATTGCCACCTCCGACACCACCATTGTCGGTTATCTTCTGCACCCACTCACCCAACCCCCAACCCCCATCGGCCACCACCATCGTGTTAGTGGTGGCTGACTGCCATCCACC